CCAAAGAGAGGCGTGGGAGTCGCGTGATGAGCATTACCCACCCAAATCAATTACTTTCACACATTTCAGTATAGTAGGCTTTACATTATTGTGGTCCAGTGTCTAAAATACTTCCATCATCGTTAACTTTCGCAAAACAAACTTTACTCGTAACAATTTTTCCGCATAAAAGTCGTATATTTTTGGGGTTGGGTTTTAAAGATAAACAAATAAATTGTTTTGGTGACGTTCTTCTCGATTTGTGTTCCCAAAATTGTTGATCGATCCCTTGACCCAACAACAATACATGTGCATGTGCCACATTCTCTTCTTGACGTTATTTCCTTGTTTCGCTTTACATTTCGTCTATTAAAATTACCCTTTAATATATAGTTTAGAGGACACATATTTTGCTTCAATTTTTCATACTTATTCAGTTTTTACAATGTGGAGTAGCTAGTAGTCAACATAACACCCAAAACTCGCCTAATCTATTATTGACTTTATAAAAGGCATTAGTAGTAGACTAGTACACCACGTGCATTTCTTGCTCCAATATCACGCCGTTCTCTCACTGAGTCACGGCTACTTTGATCATCGCATCGCAGCAGTTGGATCTAAAATGATTCTCATTTTACTTATCATCTTTTAAAAAAAAAAAAAATTACAAACACACTTCATTTATCGATTAAACAAATAGAACAAAAAAGAAAATATATGTTTTCTGTTGACAAACATTATTTGCTAGTAAATCCTGCTTTGACGTTCTTATTCCGAGGTTGGTGTTCAGTGAAAAAGAACAATCTTTCTTGGTTAAAAAAATGAGCACAATTTTTTTCCCTTTCTCTTTAAGGAAACTAGTAGCCCATGCAACAATTTTCCATCTGTGGAAATAAAGGAATAATGTGTTACATCATCAGATTTCGATTCCTCCTCATGTCATCTACAAAGGAATTGAACGCGAGGTTCCCAATACCATATCTGCAAGAAGAAATCGAAGACACTTCACCAATCTTTTATGTCTCTATGGCTCAGATGACATCTAAGGTTCCTAAACCAATCAATGTACTCCC